AGATGTTCTGGAGCCTCTCTCTGTACACACGTGCACACACGTGCACACACTCACAGCTTTTCCTCCCACCTCATTCTGCTGTTGCCAGAGTCAGGGACTGCATGAGGGATACATGCCTCTGAGGTAAATGGCCTTGGACTATTTCCAAATGGTTCTTCCGTCCTGCTTCTCCTGGTGAAAAGCACTCCCTTTTATCTAATCTGCCAATATATTTTCCATCAAAGCATAGGTGGCTCTAGACTCTTCCTATTGGATAAAATGCAGCAGTTTGTGAAATTTAACTCCCTCACTGCTGCGAAGCATTTGCTGACCCCTGCGTATGTGACACTACTGAGGTCATAGCCAGTCCACCCTCCCCAGGTGCGGTATCACCACAAACAGACAAACCACGGAAGGTGAGAGCCAGCACGACGTATTAGAGAGAGGAAGCAGCTGAGCTGTCACAGGTTCTTTTGTAAGTTACCATATTGAAGATTTAATCAGCCAATGATATGGCAGTTCACAAAGTAACTTTTTTATGTTGGAAACTCTTCTTCAAAAAAATACACCAACCAACCACAAACTTCAGCAGGAAACGTGTACCTCTGCCTGCCTGCAACCTCACGTGCAGAGGTGGCCCACACTCTGCCCCACCAGGTCTCTGTTCAAACCTCACCTTCATGAGGCCTTTGCAGACCACCTACCGGAAGAGCAGCCACCTATCCCCACTCCACCCGTCCTCACTTATTTTTTCCGTATCATGTGCTGCCACCTGATAAATACTTACACTCTATTTACTGTTTACTACGTGCTTCCTGCCCCGGGACACAGACTTCACGTGGGCAGGGGTGTATCACTAGCACCTGCAGCACAGCGTGGCAGAGCGTACGCTCCAGAATTGTTCTGGAATGAACGAATGAATCATCTCATATAAAGACAAAGAGGCAAGAAGCACCTGGTCCACACAAGGCCAGGCAGTGCAACACTGTATGACTGTGGATTCTCCAACCAGCCTGCACGGGCTGGAGCCCTGGCTCTGCTCACTGGGTGAGCGGCCCTGGACAAGCTACGCATCCTTGGGCTCCAGCCATTTCCTTTGTAAAACAAGGCCACTAACGCACGTCATGTGATTGATGACAGGATTACATAAATGCATGCAAACAAGCACCCCATGAATGTCTGCTACTGATAATATTCATTCGTTTCAGGAATGCCGACCGAGCCCTGGCACGGGACACGCGCTGTACCCTCCGACCCCACCTCCGCCTCGCAGATCCTGCTCCAGCCACTCCCTACTACTTCCCAAACAGGCCAAGCAAGCCACAATCTCAGGGGCCCCACTACGCCCCACAGGACCAGCTTCCTCGCTTATTTCAGGCCACACGTCCATCACTGCTGGAAGCCCCTCCCGACCACCCTCTGCGGAAAAGCCCCACCCGCCCAGCTCTGACACCACTTCCTGCCCCTGCTTTGGTTCTCTTCCCAGATGTCCACTTAAGGCCTCATCAGACACACATGGATTTGCTCCCACCTGAGGAGAAGGGCCTTCATTTTGTTTGTTTAGGGAAGGTCCTGGAACACAGCGGGCCCTCAATAAAGTTCTGTTCGCTGAACAGACTGAAAAACGGAGAGGTGGCCATCATGCACACAAGCACACTCCCAGTGTAAACACCATGCTGGGACAGTGTCTGGAAGGTGGTTTATGTCACCCAACACTGTAGCAGGGGGTCTGCCTTACTGAGAAAGCTCAAAGAAAACACCACAAAGCAAGAGTTACTGGCCTTGTCCACCTTGCAGTATTTATCACCAGAGTACATCTTGTAGCCCTTCTTAAAATCTGATGTCAGCATAACATTTTCTATCAGCAACAACTTACACAAAGAAGTATTTGGTATACTTTACATACAGCCTCTAGCTACAGGTAACAACTGAAAAATAGTAAATACCTGTGAAGGAACAAAAATAAACTTATTCTTATTAGACTGAGTTCTGAAAATACACAGAACTTAGTCACTAAGTATTTTCACAACTTCAACTTCGGCGGAAATGAGAGAGAGAGCCTAAAATCACAGGGGGGAAGGTGGGCTATACAATGTCCCCTTTCTTAAAAATGGTGCTCAAAGATGCCCTGACCTTTGATTACACACTTCTAGCTGGTTAATTATAGAAACAGGGATAGAATCGAGGTCTTCAAACCCCACCATCCAAAGATTCTCAGATTAAAATTTTAAGTATCTTCTTTCAAATAACCTCATCACACCATGTATATCCTGAGAGAGCTTCAGCCCTCTCTTATGGTTAATCTATCCACAGCAGAATTTATGTTTTGGGCACATAATGGCAAACAAAGGTACAAACAGACATGAGGTGAGAGGGAGACACTTACCTGAGCCTGAGTGTGTTCGAGT